CGCTGGTTCCGCCATGATAACTGCACAAAGATCGCCACTGTGCTAGCAATGAGCATGCTTTTAACTGGGGGCGTGTAGCAGTTCTCGCCGTAAAGCAAGACTGACTCTCGCGAGACTTCTGAGCCTGTGGGTGCGGGCCGAGGGCTCCTGCAATTGCAAGTGCGGTATTTCCCCCACAGCACACCAGGGCGGCCAAGAAAACCTTTGTTCAACCTGAAATGACTCATTTAATCATCCAAACCGTTATGGAACACATTAATTAACTGAAAAATGTTGCATAGTGTGCCTTTAAGATAAATGATGTCCAGTTCATCTTTACTGCTGGATAAAGTAATTTTGAATGAAGGAGTTGCCATACCATTAGAGGTCAATGTCCACATAAAGGCAAAAACCCAAATAGCATTTTTGACCAATATTTCTAGATTCTTTTCATTTCGACACAGCAGGATGAGGAAGTGTTATCCTGACACATCACTTCTATTTTTGAAGGGAGATGGAAGGTTAACATTGCCACATCAGGCCACCACCGTCCACCTCCATGACTCGGCTTTTTACTGCCATAGAAACCTGTGCTGAATCAAATCGGCAGCGATTTAAAGAGTCAAGCTTCCTGTAAATCAGGGTTTATTCAAACTTCATGGCGAGGGATTTCCTGGAACTTTTAAGTGCTTTCCTGTTCTATTGAATGAATTTCTCGAGATCATTGCCTCACTATCTGGCAATTTAGAACATTTTAGAAATCTAGCAAACAATACATGAGAGGTTATCATCCTTAGATGAAAATCAGGTTAGTGTTTATGTGTTTATTAGAAGAGCTCAATTAAAATTGAGGAACAGAGAGTTCATCCACACCCTTTTTAATAAAAGCCCTTAACTTGGATAACTTGTTTGTTTTATCTAGAGATGGGAGATGTGGAGCCATCATGTCATCTCTATGGCTATGTTCACACTTCAGCCTGAAGTGATCCAAATCCAATTTTTTTTTGTCCATAAGCGTCCTGGATCTGATCTTTTCATGGCAGTCTGAACAACACAGATCGTTTTGTTCCATTGCGACTCAGGCCACTTGGCTATGTGATCCTCAATCCGATACGAATCCGATCTTTCCTAATGCGACCTGTGTCTGAACGACCAGGTCGCATTCATCCGACCTGTACGGCATTAAAACTCGACAAAGGTCACTATTCTGCGTTTTTCTACACAGAGGCGAGAATAAAAACAACAACTATGGCAGACGATGATGCGGAGAACAGTCTTGTTCAGAAACCATCTTGAAAAGATTGGATTGTTAAAGGAAGAGTCCGGTCATATTCAGAATTCAAACTTCTGAAAGTACCTTAAATGTGAAATTATTACATACTGTTGATGATAAGTTTTTAATTAAAAGTAATTTTCATTTGAATGTGCTTTACTGGAGGCATCCATTTTTGTCAGAGAACACTTCTGCCACCTACCAGTTTGTGACGCAACATAAAATGGATGGATGGTCTCACAGAGAAATTCACTCTCTGCATTTTAACCCATCCCCTGGGGCAGCAGTGGGCTGCCATTGTGCGGCGCCCGGGGAGCAGTGTGGGGTCAAGGGTCTTGCTCGGGGACCTAGAGTGCAGGGATAGAACCGGCTACTTTCAACCTTCTCAAAGCACAAATGCACTGCTCTAAGCACAAAGCAACACTCCCTGTAGAGATGATTCAACATCTCCCACCTCTGGTGTTAACCCACACTTACAAACATCTCAACATATTGATGCGCCAGTATCCAGGTCAGACCTTAGAACCTAATGCTACCTTAGAAATACCACTATGATGGAAATCGTCCTGCCAGAAAATGAGAGAAGATGCAGAAATTAAAACCAAACCGTTGTCACGTCTTCTGGGACTGCCCAATTATATAAGACTTCTGGAAAGAGATAAATACTGCCTCACAAGATTAGTTTTCGGCAGAACTTTCCTCTAGAGATCAAGCTCTCAAGGAGCTTCAAAAAGTAAAAAAAAAAAAATATTAGATGACTATTTTATTAACAGCAAGTAAGACAAACATTACAAGAAAATGGTTATCACAAGACAAACCAACTTTAGACAACTAGATCAATATAACATAAAAAATATATATAAAATGGAAAAAATAATAATGGCCTCTGAGTCAAGACTGAACTGTTCTGTCAGTGGTGGCAGATTTGAGTAGACTATGTAAAACTTAAAAGATCTGATTTCATTTTTAGAGACCTAACTTTCAACAAACAAATTTCCTTGACATTCCACACTTCTATCATAGCAATATTTCATAATTATTTTATACAATGTTTTTCATTGTTTTTCTTTTTGTTTCATCTTTTACATTCTCTACCCATTGGCGCCACCAGGGGGTAGGCACCCTGTCCAATGCCCTGGCCACCCCATTCGCCAGTGTAAATGGTAGCATAACAGCCAGTGACGTAACATTAAAAATCACACAATAAACCAAGATATGAGTAGATGTTTACTTCAGTAAATGACTAACTGGATATGCTCTCTTCATCCTCTGACATGGGAGATGATTCGGAGCACTGCTTGTGTCTCCTTGAACCCCAGTTGCTCAGCAGATGGCCGCTCACACTGAGCCTGGTTCTGCTGGAGGTTTCTTCCTGTTCAAAGGGAGTTTTTCCTCTCCACTGTCACCACTAGCATGCTTAGTTTGAGGGATTGCATCCGAGTCAATGAGTTGATGCAATCAACTGGTTTTCCTTAGATGGAAAATTTGGAATGAATTTGACTGTATGATCTGGTGAACTGTAAAGTGCCTTGAGATGACTTGTGTTCTGAATTGGCGCTATAGAAATAAAGCAAATTGAATTGAAATTAAGTGTTTATGATTTACTGGCAGGTTTACACAATAGTAGATTAAAACCCTGAAATTATGGCTTTTCAGAGTTTTAGTGTGTCACCCGTAGATTTTTAGTGGCCCCATCTGCTTCCCCCCATTGAAACATTTTTGGAGGCGCCACTGTCTCTTTGCCTCGTGAGACCATCCTGATCTCGCAAGCTTTCAAGGTTTCACTCGCAGATCAGTCTGGCTACTTTCCGTTAAAGAAAATTTGGAGCCGTTCACCAAATGAATGTCCAATCAGCTTTGGCTTTGAGGCGGGTTGAGGTGTGACGCAACGAGAAGAGCGACAGTTCAGTCTAAAGAACATGGCGGCTTCAGCCGATGAAACTAGCATTAGCGTGGCTATCGAGCAAGTTTTATCGGAATTACAGAGTATTTCTTCACTGAAAGAAGAGCAAAACACTGCTCTGGAGGCTTTTCTCAGAGGAAAAGATGTTTTTGCTCTTCTCCCGACTGGTTTCAGCAAGAGTTTGATCTATCAATTGGCTTCTCTTTGTCGTCGCTCTGTTAGCACGTCATATGCTTCGTTGATCTGATTGGTTTATTTGGCCCTTCTATCACCAACATAGGCCAATCAGCTAACCAGTATTTTCGCCCCTTCCCAAAATTACTTCAATGGAAGGTTTCCAGATGGAGCAAATCCATCTGGCGGAGTCAGGTTAACTGTCTCTACCTCTTGCTTTATAACTTTGCCGGGGAATTGAGGTTGTATTTCTGTTTAGACTGATATAAAACAATGGCCTACTTGTTCACCTTATTTCAAATGTAGTAATTAATCTTATGATGTAGAGGCCTAAGTTTTTGTAGATGATACTTTCATGAGAATCAATAAAGATAAAATAAAAATAAAAACTTAATGCTACCTGCGTCAGGCGCCGCAACATGCTAGCTCAGAATATTTTAAACATGACTGAATTTTCATTCTTTATGACTGGTAACTCTGATTTCAGATGCAGGCGGTTCTCTGCTCTGACTTAGCAAAGATTCACCACTTGTCCAAGTTTAGCTTTAGAGAGCGAAACAGAAATAACTCCAGATCTGGTTTCAAGCCGGTTCTGGAATCACCGCTGGTGGAAAACAGGCTGCTGATGTACTCATGAGCAGGACCTGTTCCGCTGTTTGTTCTCTAACAACATTGTTATTGTTATTTCAGCCTTTAGCTACTAATCACATGAGAGTTGATCATATTTTTATGCTCATATGAGGCCCTAAGTCTGTATGTGTGTGTGTGTGTGTTCTTCTCTGTCATGTGAAATAATGATATTTTTATGTTTTGCACGGCCTGCTTAATTTGCGGAGGGACTACAGACACAGAGACCAAGGAGACAGATGCTCACTGCAAATCCTGGAAAAGACATAATTATATCTCCTCGCAGTATGAATTCCTCAATGAGAGGCCTGTAACTGATGGAGCTGTTAGAGAGTGAGCAGTAGTGATTTAGTGACACATCAGCTGAACAAGTGAATACAGATGTAGAAGAAAGTAGAACAAAAAAATGAGGCAAAAGAGAAGGGGGGGGGGGTGCAGCTTCAAAGCAGAGCAGTGGGGCAGAAATACACACCGTGGGGTAAAGAGATGGAGCCTACGGCTACTAAATGTTGTGGCTTCCCACTTATTTTTAGGTCACACACATCCAGCCTGGTCAGCGTGAAAGGAACACACACTGGTGCCACCTGCTGTCTGTATATTTAGTTTGTGGACAGCTGTGTCTCTGAACATTTTTGTTACCTCATTAGAGCTTTTTGTCGTTTTTATAACCACCTTGTTGTTGCCTGTAGTCATGTTGGAGCTTCCTGGCTTCATTTAGGGCATTTTAAGAACTGGTTTGGGTTAAAGTTTGATGCTTTTAAAGGTTTAAACATCAAAGTAGAGCCAGCAGTAGCTTCCTACAATGATTCGGTGATAAACTTGCTAATAAAATGACATCTAAAGAAAGAGCTCAACCTTTCCTGGTCTGACTTGAGGTCTGACTTATATAAATATAATAAGCTGTTAGGAAGAAATCAATGTTTTGCCAGAGGATATCTATAAAATAAGGTCAAAATGCATCAGAGGTGCATTTCCCAGAATGCTTCCTGTCTCTCTGCTCTGATTGTGATGTCCTGTGTTGTTTTTTCTCTTCTGTGTCTGCAGGGTGACTGAATCGGTCCTCTTGGAGCTGCCCTGAGCTGTTTGCACACCAAAGGTGAGCAGCAATACTCCATTCAGATCTGTGTTGCTGCTTTTCAAGTGAGCTGCTGTGCATTTTATATAAGCTCCGTGTTAGCAGGCATGGCTGAGCATTTTCTCCTGGGACCTGCCCCAGTTTCAGTCCCCAGAGCACAGATCCAACTCTATGAATTTAATAGAGGATCCAGGCCAGGGCTCATCAGAGCTTCTCTAACATTACATACATAGCAGGTGGAGCAGGGCTGACCCTGAGTTAAAGGAATAGTACACCCAAAACATGATTAGCCTTCATTTTCTACTCACCCCCATGCTGAACAACACCCTGGAGTACTTTTTTGATATCTCAAATGCATCTGGAGATCTGGGAGGCTTCTTGCTGTCTGCTGACATTCAAATAATGGAGGTCTATGGCGCCCGAGGCAGAAAGGTCCATAAAAGTCCACAAAAAACGTGTCAATATTCCTCCATACTGCTCGTCCAATGTATTCCAAGTGTCCTGAGTGGGTAGCATCCAGAATTTACTCGAAACGAAGTCATTTAGAATGTTTTTAGAGCATAAACAGTAGTGTATAGGATTTCCTGAAAGCGCGCACCTGCGCGTTCATGACGCTACGGAAGCCGGCAGACCAAACCAGATGAAAGTGCGCATTCAGCGTCTGCTCTGCCAATAATGCAAGCATAGAAGAAGAAATGTGCTGTTTACCTGTGCAAAGAAAGAAACAACGAAAGAAAAATGTCTGAGGACTTCAGTGTTGAGGAAGAGCATGAGTTCTTTGCCGAGCTGAATGCGCACTTTCGTCTGGGTTGGTCTGCCGCGGTTTCCGTAGCGCGTGAACGCGCTTTTAGGAAATCCTATTACCTAAGCTTTAGAAATTAAAAATATTGTTTTCAAAATGTTTTGTGTAGGGAATAAATAGTTTTGACTGTTAAATAAATGCTAATGAACGTTGCATGTGATGACGTCACGAGTACGCTTCTGCTCCAATACACATACGTGCTTGCGTGCTTGTGTTCTCGTCAAGTCCGATCTTAGTACGTACTCGCGTTCTCGTGAATTGAGAAAGAGTAAGCCACATGCATTATGGGTAATGAAAGGGGTGGAGTCTGGGTCCGTAAGTGAAGAAGAAATTGCAGGTATAGAAATTTGGATGGGGAGAGGCGACCAAAGAGATTCAGATTTATGACGTGAAGGAGGGTTTTTCAGGGGTTGGTGGAGAAGTGGGGGGATGCTGAAAACAAGATGGAGGCAGATGGTCTGTTTAAGCCGGGCATACACTGTGTGTCATTGCACGCAGCTACTGTAAACACAGTTCACGATTTATGTTCGGCCCGTAGCTCTGAGGCGATCTACCTGCTGACACTGTACGACTAAAAACCACGTGGGACTGAGCTCCGCATTGAGATGGAGCTGCTCAGACTCGTCTATCTGGAAGCCAAACAAATAGAAGAGGGGTACTAAGCTCACTGTAGTGAACTGCCTGCAATTTGTGCAATTTTGTGCTAAAAGCCCTAAAAAGAAAAGGCAATGACGTATTTGGGCAAAGACATGGCTGAGCAAACGTGGCTACTACGGTCTGTCAACTTTACAGACAGAACTGCATTTCACTCATTGCATTCCTGCCATGCTGCTGTGTTTACAGAAGAATCTTTGTTCACGCAGGTGCACTGAGCGATTTGCCCACGACGGTCGGGAGAAACAACGTTTTATTTTTCTCCCTTAGGGGCTCCCTAAAGCCCGGTGTCCACTGTGCGATTGTCGGGACGGTTTTCGGCCGAAAGATTTGGCCGAAAACCTTCCCGACAATCGCACAGTGTACACCGGGCTTTAGGGAGCCCCTAAGGGAAGCAGCTGGAAGAAGAAGTAGAAGAAGATGTTGACGGCTGTAGAGCTTCTCAGGTTGGCAGAGGACATTCCCAAAAAAACGACTTGTGTTGTTATATCAGCTGTAATGATTAACCCGCAGGAAATAGGGTTCATTGTTCTTTTTTTTTTTCTTTTTTCTCTTTATTGAAATACCACATCATCATAACAAAGATGGTTACAATATTACAACAAAAACATTTTTTTTTTCCTTTTGTACAATCTGTTTTTCTATTCAGTACAGCTCGCCCATCGAACATAGGTACAAACATAGAACCTGAGGTGTTCTTTCATTTTTGTCAAGAGTAAAGGGGGTTGTTTGAAATTAAATAGACAAAGTATCAAAAATAATTGGAAATTGAATCAATTAGATAAAGGAAGGGCACCTTGAAGAAACGTACGTTTTACATAAATTCCAATCCTTTTTATATTAACTGCTGACATGTGGCTCAGGAAACAAACTTTGGTTACGTTATATGAGGTATTATTATAATTTTGCCGTTGACATCATGAATGGTAGTAATTTACTGCTGGTTGGTGGTTTCATGGCTGAGCCATACGGGGCCACATTCAGGAGGATTTTTGCAGATAATCAACCCTCTTTGTGGGGATCTGTTTTCAAGTTCTTTGGAAAAATGAAGGTTTCTACAATTCTAATATTGAGCCACATACTGAGTCTGATTGTTCTGTGGTCCTATTTATTTAATCAGGAAGTCTCATGACCTCATATATGATGGGGTTTAAGCAGAAATGAGGTAAAGTCATGAAAATTCCTGCTCTGTTGGATGTTTGTTTATTTCTTTTTGAGTTAAAGGAGTCAGAACATGATGCTTTACATATAATATCCTTCTATAATTGTATTTTAATTCATGTTTAATAATTATTAGGACAAAAAGCAATTTTTAGAGCTCATTCTGACCCCGTTTCAAACATTATTTTTCCTTCTACTGTAAGGGTATGTGTTAGGATTTTACCTGTGTGCGTGTTCATGTGGACGCAGTTAGCAATATTATCAGTTATTATCACTGTTTCCTGGTCTGCTAATAGGTAGAAAGTAACAAAAGCAGCATAATTTACTGAATACCTGCAGGTGAGTCTCTGATTATTGTCATCGTCCCTTTTCATAAAAGAGATGGAGAGGTGATAGCAGGGCGGGCTAATGTTTGCACCCTTCCATGTAAATCAAGGAGGAGCTAACTGTCTCTCTGGCATGTTTTAACCCTGTAATGTCTAATGTATCGTATTTGATACATACGGTTTCTGAAATGTTTTGCGTCTGACACCTTTTGCATAATTTAATGGTAAAAACTAGGGATGCACGATATTGGGATTTTGGCCGATATCCGATATGCCGGTATTTTAAAACTCATGTAGCCGATAACCGATATCGATACTGATGTTAAAGCTGGACAAAAATAGGTAGTCATTGAAAATAGCAGTTTTGTGATCCATTTCTGACACTTCGAAAAATAATATACTCAAATATATTTTCATATGCTGATATCAAATAGATTTTTAAAAACGCGGTATCGATCTATTTTACTTTCAAAATCTCGTGAAATTTCATCGTTCTGTTACAAACTCTCGTGATATTTAGCAAATTCTTGTGAGATTTTGTTAGTAAAATAGATTGATACCGCGTCAATATATCAACATATAAAAATATGGCAAAATTTTGTGAATTTTCGGGGGATTTCGTAGCATAACGATGACATATAGCAATATTTCATTAGTAAAAGAGATTGATGTGGTGTTTTTAAATGGCAATATATCAGCATATGAAGATATTGTGATATTTTAATGTATCAATATTTTTCCCTCGTCTTTAGAAGTTTTTAAGTCTGTAAAAAAGAAGTTTTTGAGGAAGAAGAAGTAGTAGAATTTTTATTTTATTTTTAGACTTTAGAAACTCAGAAGCTGATCAAATATCGGGTTATATATCGGTGGGTAGGGTTGGGAATTGAAAAGATTTTCACGATTCCGATTCCCTTTTCGATTCTATGAAACGATTCGATTCTTTATCGATTCTTTTTTCGATTCCAATTTGGGGGAAAAAGGAGAACAAACAGTTTGATTATCAGAATCAACTTTGTTTACTTAACTATTGCACAATCTTACAAAATCAACAAGATCAAGATGTCCACAGGAAATGTGAAACTGGAGTAACATCTGTGTTTAAATGAAAAATGAATACAAGAACAAACTTAATAACAAACAATGTCTAATAACAAATGATGGGATTATAACCTATTTTAAATAACAAAAAGTACTAATTATAAAACAGTAGTAGGGAAAATTAACAGTTCTTTTGCAGAAAGATGAGCATATCTGCTTTTTCTGGAAGGATACGGGATCTTTCAGCGCTTAAGGTGTCTCCAGCCGTGGAGAACACCCTCTCAGATGGGGTGGAGGAAGCCTGCACACAGAGGTAGTTTTCAGCCAGTCCAGATAGCAAGGGCAGCACATCTTGCTTGTTCCACCACCACAGTGTGGCGCTATCCCTGCAGGGGATGGAGGGCAAGCTTTTATAGAGCTGGATTTCCTGATCTACCCTCTGGGCTAAGGAAAGACGGGGCTTTGATTCACAAAGTGACCGCAGCTCGTTGTCTTCCTCCTCGAATAGTTCTTCCAACTTGCGTAACTTGCGTAAGTTGCGTAAGCTGCGTAACGTACGTAAAAAACGTGACGTAAGTCGTGCTCCCCAGAGCCGGCGCGCTAGGCTCTGTTGCTGCGGGAATCGAAAAAAGAATCGTTCAGCGAGCTGCCAAACGATGCCATGGAATCGAAAAATACGGAACCGGTTCTTAACAGGAACCGGTTTTCGATTCCCATCCCTATCGGTGGGGTTGCCGATGTCCGATATTCAGTTTTAAGGCCGATACCGATAGGGGGCCGATTATATCGCGCATCCCTAGTAAAAACTTTGCTCAAAATCCTATTGTACACAATCAGATATACCTGATAACAGAGGGCAGAAGACTACACAAAAAATAATCTTGACTTATCGCATAGTAATAAATTATTAACATCAAAAATGTATTTCTGTTTTTTCTTTTTACATATTTTGTTAAAAGGCCAAATAAGGACTTCAAACCAAAAAAAAGTAATTTTCTGTTTTGTTTTATTCTTGGATCGGGCTTTAAAGGGTTAACCAG